TTTAACAAAGTAGTTGGTCGGACCAGTGACTTAGTTTGTGCTACTATATACATATAGTATTGAAAGTACAGTATCTTTCTTTACAATATTCCTTATATGGTTATTTCCTTTTGACAGCTGAAAGTAGACTACTTTCTTTGTGTGTGTGAATATTATTGTTTAGATCCAAGTAGCTAACAGATTTTTTAAAACCTATTTATAGCCTAATTAGAAAGTCAGTTAAATTATAGTAGTTTGTGAGGGGGGGGATTATATTCTAGTGCATTATATTGTTTTTGTATACTAAGATGCATATTTGAAACCAACATGAATTATTTTGTAAACAACAAACACAGAATAATAAAAGTAGTCTTATCAAAACATGCTCCTGAGCACAAATAGGCCTCAAAACTGATAAAATTCCTAAATTCTTTTGTGTATTTTTTTTATATGTATATATATATATTTTAAAACTTACTAAAATGTGAAAACTAGAAACTTATGTTAAATATCAAAACATTAATGGAAAAACAAATTCCATGAGATCAGGCTCAAGCTGCTAGAGTTATGTAATTTGTAACCTGATACTAAGAGACAGTTTGTATACACTAATCTCTATGCTTTATAATGCAGTTTATCATAGTATTAGTAGTAATAAAACAATAAAATTAAAAGTAAGCAGATGTGAAAAGGTTAGAAGACAAGTTTGTTAGGAAAAATAATTATAATTAGTTGTAACAATCTGTAGTCATTCTAGAAAGAAAATGAAATGTGTTATTGGTTACATTTGATATTTTTTCAACTGTTCATTTCACTATACAATGATGATTTCATACAAGATACTTATAAGGCAGAATACATAACAAATAAAATATAAAATATCCTGAAAAAACTTTTGATATTCAAAAGGGGTTCAAGAATCTGTAGAAAGGAAATATTAAAACTAAGATGAAAAGTAGTACATTGATTCTTATCACGAAAATCACCTTGTACTTTGACTGACTCAGTAAAGGCTTCAGAAATTCCCAGACAAATCTTTCAAAGTTAACATTTTTCTTACCTGAAAATTATTTCAGATAGATACTCTTCTTTTTACACAGTATAGTTTGATCCCTCGTGCATCTGCCTATGAGACTTTCAAGTCATTAACATTGACCTAACTCCCACCTAAAATTCATGTTTAAGGTGAACTGTGCTGGTGGATGATGACATCATTATGTGATGATAACCTTCCACCAATAGGAGAGCAATGCAACCTCCTTTTATAGTAGTTTCCCTTGAGCACTTATGCTCAAAATACTTCGTTCTTAGATGAGGCAGTTGTAGTATAGAGAAACCCATTAGTGAATGCTTTGTCAAGAAAAAGTAATAACATTATCTGAATGAGATGCTTATATACAGTACCAGGATAGAGGGTGCATTGACGTAGGTGGAGAGCATCATGAGACAGATATTGCCATGAGCAATTAAGTGGGGAATAAGACTGAAGCAAGCAAGAAAAAATCAGACCAATGCTAAGATGGGCAAAGGAAGGAAACCCTAGCAATCGAGTAATGGCTGTAGTGCGAGAGGAGTTAAGTATGTTTTGGAAATCTTGTTTGGTTCTGGTACTTTATTTTTAACCTCTTATTGGAACAAATAACATTTAGCTACTTTAGGGTTTTTTATGGTTCTCACCAGATATACTAATTACAAATATTCATTTTAATCACATAGTTTAAAGAAACTGTTAAACTAATTTTGATCACTTAGTATGACTCATGACTCTTGATACACTAAAACACTTTTTTAGAAAACACAATTCATCCCTGTTACACTTGTTTTTAAACCATCAACAGGGAAGATAGAAAGAGAAAAAAAAAGGATGAAAGCTGTATGAAAGTATATAAGAATGACATTATATATTGACCACAATATATCTGTTATATTCAATGCCAATGAGACCTTTTGTCCAATACCAAGGCTCATCAAGCCAGCTAGGATTCTCAGATTGGTGAACTGTAATTGTTATCAATTTTATATAACTCTTTCTTTAAAAAATGGATCAATTTGACACACATTGGAAGTGTGAATAATCCATTTTTATTCTTTAACCCTTTCACTGCACAATCAATTTTCGAGCTGATTCCCACAAATGATCAATTATCCATCAAAAAATAAAAGTATGAATCTGACCCTTTGTATTACTTTTTCAATATTGAAAGAAGCTGTATTTTCTATACCTGACAGTAATATTCCTTGAAAACTGCATTGGATAATGAAAATAATGATTTAAACTAAAAATTGAGGAAATAAGAATAAAAGTGTTCTTCAGTAAATGGCATAAATATAGGCAAAACTATGTCAATAAGAGGCCAAAATCATTACAAAATAGATGATTGTTTCAAGTATAGGGGGATATTCCTGCATGTCCTAGTAGAGGGAAACGTTTTTGGTAGCGGTGAGGTAATTCCAAATTTCACAGTCAGTGGGTATAAATGTTTATTTGGATATATCCAAAGTACACAGCAAAAGGGTTAAATTCTTCAGCTGTTGCAAGATCTTCAATTAACTTATCCTCAAAATTTCAGCTTTAAACCTATTCACATCTGTTTTCATTTAATCTTATTGTTTATTTCCAGACTTTCTTCCAAGGAAGGAATGAATCACATCAAGAGCCAATACTTATTTCCTTCCTCAGAACCCAAACAAATTAGACAAAGTTTGAGCTTTTGACCTCAAGTTCCTAATAGCTATTCCTCCAACAGATGTTAAAAAATATATAACAATAAATAAAAAATTATACATAAGAAACAAGACATTTAGCATTTACTTTAGGCATTGAGTCCTGTTCATACATGTGTGCCGTGCTTCAGTAACCATACTTTTTTCTCACTGTGCTGGTTGTCCAAAATATAACTGATGTAGCTTTCACATATCTATTTCAGAACACAAAAAATATATGAGATAGCAGAATATAATATCCTACAACTATTATAATTTATATAGTTTTATAACTGAGCTATAAATAAGTTTGATTTAATTTTTTCAACATACATCAAGCTTTTCTTGAGAATTTCTATCTTAAACCATAAATATAAACAGTCTTATGATTCCTGTACATTATAATATTCTCTTTTTATTGGTTATAAGCATGTTCATCAGATAAGTAAATACGATGTAGATAATTGGCTTGAAATGCATGAAAAGAAGGGAGGGACATCTATAGTGGGTTTCACAAATTTGCTGAGGAGATTCATATTTTATATTACTGCTTATCATTATATGTAATTTGTGTTTCTAATGAGTTCTAAACCTCAGCAGCAGTCTATTTTTGACATTGGAAAATTCTCTAAATAAGAAATTGAAGCATAGACACGTCATAGAAACAAAAAAGTGAAGACTGAAAATTTTTTATTCTTCTTTTTGAAATTAAGAAATTAAAACTTAAATCATATTAAGATTTGGATTATGAGCTTCATATTTAAGAAAACTTTGACATACATTGATAACAAATATTTTCACTTAGATTTTAAATGTAACTTTGCAGAAGATCATGACATGCACACTTTGATCCTGTCACATCAGAATTAGGTTTATGATTTTTAATAACGTCAAATAATTTATATATTTTAACACCAACTTATTTTTACTATTAATATAATTTACTTATGTATTTAACTTGAAATAACTTTTTACGCATAATTCAGAACAACTCATGAATCAGTAAGCTAGTCCTTTTAATCCTAGAAAAAGAAAACATTAGTAATTATAAGAACTTATGAGAGAAAGTAAAAAAGGATGTAATATATCTGCTATATCTAAAGTCTTAGAAACCTTTTATCCAATACCATGGCTCATCAGTTATTCTTCTTTTTGTTAGAGGTATGAGTGGTGATAACCTATTCTTCAAAACACCCGATGATACAAAGTGCCAATTTTTTTGCCCATGAAGCATAAATATGATTTAGTCTTCTTATCTCATATAAAACAGCATTTTAGAAAAAAAGATCAGTTCCTTTACAATTTTAAAGGACACGATCTATAGATTTAATAATTTCTAAGCTTATTCAACCCAAGTTTAAAATATCAGTAGAGAAAATAATGTCAACTACAGATTTCTTAATGTTAATGATTTAGTCATAAGTAAAAGTTGTTAAGAAGTATTATTACTATTAAAGTATCATACCAGATCTGAGTCTTCCCAATACCAGGAGGTCCACAAATTTCAGTTATTTTTTTTGTATGAATTCCTCCTCCTATCATCTCATCCACTTTTTGAGAAAACGTTACAATTGCTGCAACACCTTTCTCATTTTTTGACATATCAAACGCACTGTAAAACTTATGGGTAAAGTCCTCATGTTTTTCCTTATCAGATCCTGCAGAACCTACTGAATCTTTGAATAACAGATGGAGCACCTCCCCTGTTTCTTCATAAGTTAAATTTGCTTCTGAAAGACAAAAACACAACAAATTCAATTGGATGTAATATGTAGCTTCAGATTTTTTTTTATATGCTTCTGAACTGCTTTAGAATTACAGCGAAAGTATTCAGAAAACTAGATCTTTTTTTGTACATCCAGTTATTCTTGTTTTAATGAGAATTATATGCAAAATGCAAATGTACTTAAATAACGTGGTTCACATCAGAACTGAAAAAAATATCTGAATTAAGTGGATGACAGAAGATCAGTAACACTGCTAATGTTTCCCAATCTATGAATAATAATAATAATAATATCAAAATTAAATGTACATTTTTGTTCTCCTTAAAGTCATCGACCCAAACTTTAATGAAACCAAGCTGATCTCTTACCCAGTATAATTCAAAACTAAATGACAAATAATTTTCTATGCAAAGAATAAACCCAAATTCAGATTTCCTCAGCCTATAACATTAATTCTGTATTAATATTGTTACGACAGCAGGGGTCACATGACACTAGTAACACGTCATATTCTCGAAGGTTCGTGAAGCCTCGAGTGTTTACTAGATTTTCGGTATTCTTGTATATAA